GCTAGGTTGGCAGGAGCTGGGACAAGCGACGGGAGCTCCCTCCCTCGCCTGGATTCGATCTTACGACTGCAGGTCTTCTGACCTTGCAGCACAGAGGCTTCTGCAGTTTAATCTGCGTGTCCTTCCTCTGTCCCATAGCCAGGCCTAAAACCAGATTGAAAAGGGTCTAGATAATCTACTTCCTCCAGGAATCCCTGGAGCTGAGAAACCATCCCACCCTCCAGTACCTTGCCCAGGAATGGGATGACGGAGACTGGCTGGCCCATCTTACCCGGTGGCCGCAGCCATGACGCAGCCCCCCTGGGATGCCGTGGCCTCCAGGCAGCAGCCCTCGACGTCGTGACTCATGCCGAAGTTGTGGCCGATCTCGTGGGCCATGGTGGCGGCTGCTCCAATGGGCAGCTCCGAATGGTCCTGGGGAAAGAAGACGAGGGGGGGGGGAGAGAACAGAGGAAAGCTTCACCAAGCTAAAACAGGAAGAGGTTTGTTTCATAACTCAAAGGGGACAGCCTTTGTAATTCAACTTGGGGCCAGATCTTAGTTGCAGAAGCAGAATCCACCCTGTGGTAGGAACTCAACATCAGCCGCCACCACCACCACCACCCCAAAGGATCTGAGTCAAAAGCTGTTAGGTTGCAAAGAAACAGATTGTAATTAGCAATTGATTATGGTTAGTGCAGGTGGCATTAATGAAGGACTGAGTCACTGCCTACCTGCCAAGAAGAACACAGCAGTGAGGGATAAGCTGTCCTAAAGCACACCCCGGTTTGATTGGTTAAAGGAAATATAAATTAAGTTACTGTGTTCTTTGCAGTTCTTTATTTTGATTCTCTTGACGAATTTCTGCCCACTCAACAACCGAATGTTCAGTTCCTGAGGGCACCGTGTCAGTTTGGATAGCCATGTAAATATATTTCTCTGTATGCACTCTTGCTTTCTGTGCGTGCGATTTCCTGCGATGGAGATTCCAGTCTCAAGACTTTGCAAAGAGACAGGGTTTTTTTTGCTGAAATCTTTTTAAAGTTAACCAAAGTGCCCTTCTGTGGACCACCAACGGGGGAATAATTTTTTCCCCACATCCAGCTAATTCAAAAAGGGGTCATCCCGCACCACGGAGAGAAGTGCTCTAGACAGCTTAACGGGTTCCTGGAGAGACCCCCCGTCTCCTTACCACGCTCACACCACCTGAGTTTTCTCCCGTGCACATCCCCTCCAGTGGGGCCATTCCAATGGTGGTCCCCCTGAACGACACACCCCTGTGGAGAGACATAAGGGGTGGGTGGGGAGAGACAAAGAGAAAAGAGAGTCTCAAAATCAGTCATTTTGCTCTGTGGAAGAGCAGAGGCAGATCTGAAACCTGTCTCTATTTACAGAGCACCTCCACAGGATCAGACATCTTGAAAAAGCAGAAATCCTCCATGAAAAAGATGGATCTTCTCTTCCAATTTAGCCCGATGCATGAGGGAGCTGGGATGAAGGTGAGTGGGCCTCTCCTTCCATCAGGCGTTTAATTTAAGCGCTTCATAACCCAGAACTATCTGTTGCCGTTTTTATAACCTTGCATGATGCCTGGAGAAAGTGTGGGTAGGAAGGACCTTTCTGGGCTGGGTGACTGTCAATCCATTGAGCACTAACCAATGGTTCCCTCCTGCCTCTGAATTCAAAGAGAGTCCCGCCCCTTCGCTCTGAGCTCCCTTCCCTCTCTTCTGAGTCTGTTGAGGTCGGCTCCTGAAAGCTATCACGTTGGCCAGTTCAGCTGCAAGCAACACAACCTTTTTTTAAAAAAAAAATTATTTCTCTTACTAATGTCTCAGACTGAGTTGCTGAGATTGTGTCAGCTGGTGAGGGAAAGGGGTGGACTAATCCGGGGAATTTGAATCTATTGTGCTTTCTGAATCCCTGCACTTCTGCTGCATAGCTAGAGGAATGTAACTAGAATGTAACTAGAAATTTCTAGAATGTAACTAGAAATTCAAAACTCTGCAACACGTCTCTGCAGGAGAAAGCAAGGATCCTTCCTACCAGTGTGCCACCATGATGGAGAATGATGACCAAGCTTTGGGTTTTCTGCATTAAACACACATGCTCTGACTCTGAAGCAGAGCTCGAAAAAGTTAAGTGTTTTAGACTACAACTTCTAGAAAGGGGGTGGGGGAGAGAATCTTAGAACTGGAAGGGACCCTCTGGATCATCCAGTCCAGCCCCTCTCAAGGAGGCCCATTGGGGGAACCGAACTCCCCACCTCTGAAGCCGCAGCCAGAGGCCTAAGCCGCTGAGATAATGACCCCAGAGGGCAACCCACCCTCGCCATGCGCACTCACGTTAGAAGCTGAGCGTTATCATGCCTCTTCCGAGACTTCAAAGTCTTTTTCCACTGCAGGAAGGAGACCAGGGAGGTGTGGGCATCGCTGGTCACGGTGCATCTGTCTCCCTCCGTCCACACCTCGATGCCAATCAGGGCTACTTTGATGTTCAGGGACCTGTAAAACTGGAGAAAGGGCCAAGAGGAGAAGAGCAGGAGCTATTGAAAAAGCAAACCCACACAAGACCTTAAGAGGTCGCGGTCCAGTTGTCCACCTTGAGCACCATACAAGACAGTTGCTGTCGTTGTTCTTTGGAAGGAGTGCCGGCATACATACGTAAGAGTCCAAAAGCTTATTGCACTCACCGTAGCATAAAGTGATGCATGAGCAAGTTCACGGGAAGTTACAGCCAGGCCGTCCGCATGTCTGACCGCACAACTGGTTACACAACCGATTCAAAACGGACTGCACAACCGTCGCTGTGGAAGGCGCATCCCGGATACAACTTTTGCCCAGATGCAAATTTAGCAAAATTTTATGAAATTTTGCAAAGTTCATAACTTGAACTTACTCCTCGTGTAAGTTCAAGTTATGCATCCCTAGAAGGGCAATAGGATTTCAGCTAGAGCTAACCCATGAAGTAGGGCTACAGGGCAGCCTTCCCAAAGACGCTTTCAAGCAAACGCCTGTTTGGCCAGATAACTGGTTTAAGACACCCTTTGCCGTTGTTATTTGGGTATTTTGTGCTTACCTTGTCTACGTAGTTAGCGATCTCCAGGATCCGTTGCTTCGTACGGCCCAAATTTTGCTTTTGAGTTGTAAACTGAGAAACAAGATTGGGAAAGAACAGGGGGGGAAAGGGAACATTATACGAAGGTGAACACATCTAATTTTCTTCTTTGTTTTGCAAAAGTCAACACACAACCTGTAGAGTGCTCTTTTTAGACATTATTTCTGTAGAGACCTATGTCATAGGGATACTATTCAGAAGGATTTCTCTGCATTCTGGATCTCTCCTCGTTCAGAAAGCACACATTTCAGCTCTCTTCAACAGGAGCTTCTATTCCAAGCTTCTTTCACACATAGAAAAATGGAAGTCTGATGTCACAAGTCAGATCTGACTTGTGAGCCAGCCTCTCCCGGAAAGCTGCTTCTCTTGGCCGCCTTCAAAAGAGGAAACGATTTTTTAAAAAAAGATAGCACTGCTCTGCTTTTTTCAACAACTTCCCTTGATCTTAGGGGAGGAAGGAATTTGAACCCAGTACTTTGGGGGGGGGGGCTGCATCTCCCAAACATGCCTTAGCCCATCTGGCTGGCTCGAGGATGCTGGCCGTCGCAGTCCAAACCAGTAAGACTGGCCGGCTATGCAGAAGAAGATAGCCGAGGCCACCCTGGAAGCAGCAAAAAGAGTAAAGCAAATATTGTCATAACGGAACCCGAGGTCGTCCAGGGGTGGGGATCTGGCAGGAGCTTCAGAGCAGACAAAAGAAGGTCATTCACACTGGGAGTCCTTCGTCCCCGGCTTCGGCTGTCTCAGCATGTTGGGACAGGGCTTTCCAAGACGATTAAGGCTCGCTGGCACAGGGGCAAAACTATCTAGTTCCACGCTGTTCGTTCCCTTTGGTTATTTTTCCCGCTGACCCGATGGACGCAAGACACAGGGCCTCTCCCCCTGCCTTCCATCCTTTTTGATTCTCTTTAGGCGCCTTGTGCGATTATGAAACTCAGCGCTACAGGACGCCCACTGCAGAATTCATTTGTCTCTGCAGCTTTCAGTTCAGAAGCCTGGGATGGGCCATTTGGTCGGATTTTAAAACAGAAAGGGGGAGAAAAGAAAAGAAAGAGAGCCATTCAACAGGCAAAGCTCTGGCGAGGAAGGAATTTCGAAGGATTTATTTCCTAGGAAGCCCAGAGGTGGGGAAAAGTGTAAGGATTTCCAAGGAAGTGACCTTTGCAGTGCAATGTAGACGACCACCACCTCCCAAAGCCCTACAAAGCAGAGTTCTGCTCATCAATACTATGGGGTCAAAAAAACACAGGCTAAAAAAGACCTGCTGGGAAGCTGGGCTTCGTCTCCACGGGCCTTTGGAAGAACACTCTCGGACTAAAGCAGTGGCTTCCAGCTTTGGGTCCCCAGATGTTCTTGGACTACAACTCCCAGAAATCCTGGCCAGCCTAGCTCACGGTGAAGGCCGGCCTCTGGGAGATTTAGCTGCAGAACATCTGGGGACCCAGTGTTGGGAAGCACTGGACCGCATCCAAGGAGGTGGCCCTCTTACCAGGGTGTAGTCAGCAGCTATGAAGAGCTCCATGTATTTCAAAGTCCTCCAGGCGTCCCTCTTTTTCTGCAAAACAAAATTACTTTAGTCTCCCTGGAAATGCACCAAGGTACAAAATGTGTGACTAGGGCTGTAACAAATACTGGTCAATTTTCTCCTCTTGATGAATCATTTCAAGACACTGCAATATAAAAGTCTCCGTGACCTTTTTTTGCTCCTGCGCAAAAGCAAAAATGCCAGTATCAAGGCCGGCATTTTTCCATCAGAAGTAACGTTCACTTTTAAAAGGTGGGTTTTGTGCAAAGCCTGTGTTTTGCACTAAAAACTTTGTATTTTCTTTCTTTCTTTCTTTCTTTCTTTTTTCCGTCCTTCCTTCCTTAGGCACTTTGTATTTTACACATACAAAAAAAAGAAAGGGTTCTCTGCACATAACACAACTTTTTAATGGAAAACTGAAGTATTTTGCATGAAATATATTTCTACCACCCCACCCCTCAAAAAAGAGCCATCATGCGAAAGTCAAACAAGGAAATGAAAAGATACAAGGCATGTTGGGATCATTTGGATCCATTTATTTGCTTTATCCAACAGATCTGGAGGAGTCCTCCAAACACCAAAGGTGGCAAACAGAACAATCCTATCGGACATTCCAAATTGTTCAGAATTGTGGCCTATAATAGCTGGAGGGCAGTTGTCACCATGAGGAATTCAGAACAGTACAAGGCCAAGCTTTGTGACTGCTGTGCTTTGTGTTTGAGTTTGTGGGTTCTGCATGTTTGACATTCAGTGTAAACAAGATGCTCTTTAACTTTAAAAAAATAGTGGAAGGAAAAAATGCACAAAACTCTTACAGTCCCATGCAGTGGGGAGAAAAATCCCTAAGGAAATAGAATAGGGAAAGATTTACAGTCTATCCTTCTAGGTGACCCATCTTCTCTGATCTCAGAAACGATCAGCTAGGACCAAATATTCCAGAAGAAAATTCTGACCTAGTGGGAGCAAGCTGATCACAATGATAGATCATCTCTCCCCTTATCACAGCAGTACACCCACAACAAAAAAACCCGCTGATCATCATAATCACCCAATTTCCTGAAAAGGACAAAAGCTGATCCCACAGCTATAAATATTCAACTATCCCACAAACTGCAACAGAGCACAGACAGGGTTCTGACTCCTGTCCTCTGAAGATGCCGGCCACAGAGACGGGTGAAACGTCAGGAAGAACAACCTTCAGAACACGGCCAGAGAGCCCAAAAAACCCACAAGAGCCATCAGATCCCGGCCATGAAAGCCTTCGAGCATACCCCTTTGTGCTTGCAACACCCCAAGGACTGAGGAACACAGAACTCATTTTGGCAGATCTATGGCCCAGCCCTGGGACCCGTAGCAAATCAAGAGGACCTTTCTTCCTGACCTTTCTTATTGCATCCTAAACTTTCTGTAGAGTCGACAGAAAGCTTACCCGCCGCTGTGTATCTGGCTCAAAGAATCTAGCAATGTCCGCTACGTTGCTGTGCAGCTCGTCACTATGCCCGCAGGTGCCCCCTTTGAGGGATAAGTGTTCCGTCCGATAAATGAGGTGAGGCTCAGATTCTGGATTAGCAGGAGGCTTCAGGTAATAGCTGTCGTTGTGGTTGAGTATGATCAAGCCGCTAGTGAAAGGGGAGAAAAAGAAGGCAATCACAAACGTTTTCCCCCCAATAAATAAATTAATTATGGTTTTGCCCCACCTTTCTCCTTAAAAAGGACTCAAGGCAGTTTGCATTATTAAAAGGCAATGTTTTTACCTTTAAATAGCAAGGATGCAAATACCAAAAATAATCAAATACTCTTAAAAAAATAGATAAAGGTAAAGGTTCCCCTTGACAATTTGTCCAGTCTTGTCCTACTCTAGGGGGGAGGTGCTCATCTCCGTTTCCAACCCATAAAGCTAGCGTTTGTCCAAAGACAATCTCCCGTGGTCACGTGGCCAGCGTGACTAGACACGGAACGCCGTTTACCTTCCCACTGAGGTGGTCCCTATTTATCTCCTCGCATTTTTGCATTTTGCATGCTTTCGAACCGATAGCTTGGCAGGAGCTGGAACAAGCAACAGGAGCTCCCTCCGTCGCGTGGATTCGATCTTATGACTGCAGGTCTTCTGACCTTGCAGCACAGAGGCTTCAGCGGTTTAACCCACAGCAGCATCACGTCAAAAAATATAAGAAATGCCAAAAACACATTCAAAGCAGTACCCCCCAAAAGAAGGGACTGGAAAACCAGTTCTGAACACTCCGTAGCTCAAACATCCTGGGAAAGGCTTGCTATAACTCAGAAATGACTTGACACATAACGACAAACTAATTCTTCAGCCCCATTTTGTGGCTGTTCGACAGCCACGCTTCTATGTTCTCTCAGCACCTACCGCCAACCATCATTGGCAAAAAGATTACTGAGGTGTGAATGAGCTACCAGGTCACGCATGATACCGAGAGATACAGCAACAATGCCCCCAGCAGCCTGGACAACAGAGGCCATTTGTTTTTTTGTTTTTTTGGAGGAGCTGCAAGTTTCTAGCCCTCATTGCTAAAAAGACAAGAGAGTGAATTTATTTCTGTAGAAAACTCAGACTGAAAGAAAGAAAGAATCCCCAGCCTTAGTTTAGAGCAGCCTCTTAATTCTCACTTCCTCTGGTAAAAAGCATCTTTGGAGTTACACCAGGAAACTGTTTTAGGGGTGAGTCAAAGCTCCTTTCTCACTTTATGCCCTGATCTTGATATATTCCCCAGCGTCTCCACCCGTGGCTTCTTTCTGAGAAGGGGAAAGAGGTCGGGAACTCCAAATATAGGGTTTCTGTGGAATGACCCGATGCCTGGAAATGCAGATACACACACACACCCTTTAAATGCACGGCTCTTTACCAAAACACAGTGGCAGGCTGGGGGTCGGGGGTGGAGACAGAGGAAAATGCACCAGTTTGAATTTTCTAGGAGAATCTGAGGTCCTCCCCATTCCAAGCAAATCTATAAAAGTGGCCGGAACATTTGCAGCACAGCCAGAAAAGGATGCAACCAGGGTCTGTCTGGGAAAAGGCCGAAGAGGGACCGAGAAATGCACTTCCACTGTGGGTGGCAGAAAGCCAGCCCAGGGGAGATCCAGCTGTTTCCCCCACCCCTCCCTTTGGGTTGCAGCCTGGGGCAACGTTGCAGGAGGAGGAGGACCGGACTGGGGGGACCCCTCCAACTGCACCACTCATCTGACAGCCCATTAATATCCGGAGTCGCAAACGAAGCGGTGGGTGGATGCCCACACATCACTGAAGGATGATCTCACAGGGCAGCATTCCTAAAGAGGCAGCTCACACAAGGGAAGGCTGGGTTTTTTTTTTCCAGGCCTAAGAGAGGATGATGACAAGCTGCAGCGGGAGGGGAGGCCGATGGGAGGGGAGGGGAAAAGACAATGCAGGGATTGCTAAGTCAATTTTCCCCCTTTTTCCCCTCCCCCCCTCTCTCTCCCTCTCGCATTCTGGCACGTTTTTCGCCCCCACGAAAGGGCAGGTCACGAGCAGCCGCAGTGGCAGGACCTTCGGCCACAGCGGAGAACGAAGGGGTTTTTTTTTTCTTGACCACTAACTAAACCAAGATGCCAGGCAGTCCACACTGTGAGACAGGATGGGGTAAAGATTATCACGTTGCTGTTATAGACCATCAAATCATCTTTTGACTTGTAGCAACCCGATGAATGAGCCATCTCCAAAATGCCTGGTCTCCAACAGTCCTGCTCATCTCTTTTGAACTCAAGCCTGTGGTTTCCTTGAGAGAGCCAGTCCATCTCGTATTTGGCCTTCCTCTTTTCCTGCTGCCTTCCCCCTTTCCCAGCATTATTGCCTTCTCATGAGGTCCCCAAAGGAGGACAGCCCCAGTTCTAACATTTTTGCCTCCAGAGAGAACTCAGGCTCAATTTGATCGAGGACTTCCCTTGTTCGTCTTTCTGGTCATCCAGAGTATCTACAAAACTCTCCTCCCGTACCATATTTCAAACAAATCAGTTTTTTTCCTATCCGCTTTCTTAAAGGTTATGAACAGATATTAGCCTTCCTTAGCGACTTATAGGTTTTGTTCCACTACAGAATTTCACATGTATATATTCTTATTATTATAGAATAAAAACAATGGTACAGGGTGAAGGAAAGGGAAATTTAAGTTGTTACATGAGACAAGAGGACAAACTGTTTCATCCTTCTAAAGAATAATTGATTTAAAATCAAGATTTTTGTGCTTTCAAAATGTTTCTCAAAGGCTACACACACCCCTCCTGTTTAACAACAAAAACAAAAAATAAGGAGATGGTTTTGTTTCTTTTTGATCGTTTTATACTTTAGTGTTTCGAGCTTTGAATATTGCCTTTTAAGGATGCAAACCTCTGTTGCATGCTCACTGTTTCGTTCTTAAATAGAGGAACTCATAGAACAATACGAAACCCTCAGGTCCTTTTCTAAGGAGGAAGGCAAAGTGAAATATTTAAAATAAATAAATAAAATTAATATCAATGCATTAAATCTAATGCAGAACTTCCAAACTCTGCCCCAAAAAAGTATCCAAAAGGGTAGTAAAGTGGGTATGTCATCTGAAAGCAAAATCCCATTGTTTTGGTGAAAAGACTCACTGGAGATTCATACTGGTCGTTTTAAGAGATTATTTCTCTCTCTCTCTCTCTCTCTCTCTCTCTCACACACACACACACACACACACACACACACATCTGGAAAGCCTCCGGGTCCACCTCTGGCCTGCAGGCCAACCGTTCCACATCTGTGACTTGCGTTAACTCCTGGTCTCCCAAACCTTTTCTTACCTGAACCCAGAGCACGTACTGAGCACCACCCAGGAGCCCTCGTACCCTCGGACATGGCCGTGGTAGTAACAGTGTTCCTGGGAAAAAAGAGGCAACAGACAACGTGATTGTTTTATATGGGCACTTCCTGTGCAATTTTAAAAAAATATTTAACAAAAAAATTAATTACACACACAAAAAAAACCACACAATACATTAAAAAGCAATAGATAATACATCATTCACAGGCCAGTTCACAAAATGGACCACTACGTTTGTGCCGTGGCATAGTTTACTTACGGTGTGGTTGGGTGTAACCGTCACCATCCGCCCATCCTTTGTATAATGTGTCTCTGTGTAGTCTGGGGACAACAGCCTAGCATGGACAGAGAGAAGGAGGAAGAGAGATTAATTTAGCAAGCCACATACACGATTCCCTTTTTTAAAATTTTAACTATAGCATAAACATCATAAAATACATAAACCAAAATGCAAATTGACCGTGTTCCCCACCACCCTAGTTGGGACCTCTTGCAATAATCCTCTTCTTCCTCTATCTTTATTTTTCTTCTTCCTTGATTGTCCTCTTCTCCAGAACTGCATTGAAGTTGGAGCTTTCCCTTTTCCTCTTGTTAGCACATATTCCAAAAATCTGCCCCACATTTCATAAAAATTATTCTTTTTTATCTCTCCTTTCTTAACCTTTAAATTACAAGTTAGCTTATCATTTATAGCTATGTTCCATATTTCATCGTACCATTTGTCCATTCGAAATTCGGATTTTGATCTGCATTGCCTAGCTATTATTAGTCTAGCTGCTGTCAATAAATTGGTAATCAATTCTTTAGTCATCTTATCATATTCCACGTTCTCAAATACAGGATTAAATTCTATATCTTTTTCACATATGTCATTTAGTTCTTTAAAGACTGGTTATCAAAATCTTTGTACTTTTTCACATTCCCACCACATATGAAAGTATGTACCAATTTCCTTCTCACATTTCCAACAGACATTCAGATAACTAGCGTTAATTTTATTCAATTTAGTCGGTGTTAAATAGACATGGTCTAGAGGGGCGGGGGAAAAATCAGATAGATAGATAGATAGATAGATAGATAGATAGATAGATAGATAGATAGATAGATAGATAGATAGATAGATAGATAGATAGATAGATAGATAGATAGATAGATAGATAGATAGATAGATACCATCTTAAGCCCAATTTTTAAAAAATTTCTCTTATTCTGACTGAAATTAATCTTAAAACCCTTCCCTTTAAAAAAAAGATTCCCTTTTTTTATTCCTGTTCCACCAGGGCTGATCCACCTAAGCTCCATGGCAGCTCGACCGACTGGTAGTCAGTGTTAATAATGCAACAGACTCTGCTGGAATGGCATTTCATTTCATCCTCTCCCACCTGTCATACCTTCCCCTGCTGAAAAAATTAAGATTTTTAAGCTCATGTGATTTTTTTGCTTCGCTTCATTTTGCTTTGCTTCCAGCGTAGCTACCCAAGCTAAAAACCTGTACAGCAAAAGCCATTTTGTAAGACAAAACCTCTGGGTTTATGAAATCATGCCTCGAAGGGGATAAGGAAATCAGTGGAAGCTGGAGGTGGTGATCCTAGGATAATTTAGCTCAGAGTCCACAGAACGTGAACAGAAATGATGTGTGCAAGAAACAATCCGTGTTCCTCTTCCACTTTTCACAAGAAACATCTGCTTTTCCCAACTCCAGCTCCCGGAAACCATGACTCATTGAGCTGGGGGATTCTGGGATTTATAGTCGGAGAAGCATGATTTCTGAACTGTGCTCCAAATGCCTTCACCACGTGGACCCCAAACTAGGATTTATAGCTGCTCTCTTGGTCCCTTCTGGCCATAAAGTCTCCTCTCGCCTTCCCCCCAGATATGCCTCGTTCCACTTTCCTGCATTTTCCTTCCATGGGAAAACTGGAATGGGGTGCCCCAAAGATTTCTCAATTTTTTTGCATTTGTTTTGTGACACATCTCTCTGCTCCGGACGAGCGCTTCTCTCTTTCTTCCGAAAAACGCCCCTAGGGTTTTGCAGCTTTCCCGAACCAAGCCTCCATAAAGCGGGAAAGTGCTCAGTTCTCCTACGATGCCACATTGGACTGGAGACATCTGGAATGCCCCGCCACTAAACAGAATGAAGCCGAATCTGAAACTGCCTTAAATGGAGTGCCGTGACAGCCTTATCACCGGACAAGTGCCAGAGCAGGCCCAGGACGCTGAGCCGCTCTCCTCCAGCTGATCCCTTCTTCTCCCGCCTGCCTTTCCTGGGGTCAAGGAAGGCGTGCATTTGGCATGAATCACCAAACTTCTTCATTTCTTCCAAACATGCTGCTCGGATTAACTCCTCGCTCCATTCCCCTGAATTCCTTTCTTCAAACGAACAGTCTAGAGAGTTAGCAAACCAACCGATGATCTCTTAAGACAAAACTCTTGACCTTCGAGCTGGTCCTTGGTGAGCACAAAAGCTGGATAGATATCGAGCACTGATTTAATTTTCGTGTGCATCAACCCTTACTCGTACATGGCCTTCGCTTGAGAGAAACAGCAACTAGATTCGCTGCTCTGGCATATTTTGCAGCCCGTCTGACGAAGTGGATTGGTCCACGAAAGCTCACATTAACAAATATAAAAGTTAGTCTTTAAAGTGCCACCACGTTTTTATCTATTTCTTAAAAAAAACTCTTCATTTTTATTCAGTTTCCACCAATCATACGACATCTCCCGTCTGCTGCAAGCTGTATAACTCAGAACAAAAGAAATTTTGGCCGCTTCCCCACCTTCAGCCTCTGTGGTATCCTGAGACATCACAACCTCCTCTCAGAACAGAACTAGTTGTCTTTTTGCATCTTGTGGTAACACTTCCATGTTATTGCCAAAAAATAACACACACACACCCCAAAAAAAACCCACAACCAGAAACAATCATGGTCGTAATTGGAAGGAGCCCACTGGTGTCTAGAAGTTGTTAAACTGGGAGTATTTATTTATATAAAAATTGACCGGGCACTGCTAAAGTTTTCCAGGAGCTAAAGTTTCACCTTTTGTGAAGGGAAAATGCAGAAGTGGGCTTTGGGCTGCAAAACCCCAGAATTTTGGGTTGCAAAAACGGCCAGGGAGTGAGAACAGACTTTCCCCATACTAGACTTATACTAAAACTCTCCCTTCTACACTTCTCCCCTCCACCAATCCTCTTGACTGCATCTCCAAAAAAAGGTCCCCCTATAAGCAAAGTCTGCTGGAGCACCCCAAGATTTCTCTGCATTCGGAGAAAGAGCCGGCCTGGCGGTTCTCTCCTGCGTCTCTCTCTCTCTCTCCCTCCCTCCCTTTGCCACCTCCCCAGTCAGCGACCCCCCAAAAAGGGTCAAGAAAGAGCCGGCCTGGCGGTTCTCTCCTGTGTCTCTCTCTCTCTCCCTCCCTTTGCCACCCCGGTCAGCAACCCCCAAAAAAGGGTCGTGTGGGCTCTGAGTCAGATGGCGGGGGTCTTTTTTCCCACAGCTGTCGGCCGTCTCTCTGCAGCCTCGCCGGGAGGCTGGCTGGGACCCACATCCAACTTCCTGATGTCGGAGCAGACGGCTGCAACGCCAGGAATGGAGACCAAAGGATTAATCAAAAGCAGAGTCCCGCCGGCCTTCGGGGTCTCTCTTCCCCCTTCCTTCTCCTCCCATCCTCAGCGGTGGGAGAAGAGAGACCCTTCGGACAGGCGCTGGTGGGATCAGACTTGTGGCTGGGTTTATGAGAACATGGGGTGGGTGCATGCATGTGCTAGGAACACAACTGCTTTACAGTGAAGGCTGCTATAGACAAGAGGCTCGTTTTGCTGTTAGAAGGTCAAAAAAACCCTTTTTCTCTCCAACACACAAAGCCTCAAAGTTGGCACTTCTATTACCATTGGGCGGATTTGCTGGTTGGCACTGGTTTCCCAGTTTGGCCATGAAAGGATCTGGCGGGTGGCTTTTTTCACCAACTCCCCTCTACCGCTTCTTTTCATTTTAGGCGAAATGAAAAACGGGACCTCCTCAGAGAGTTTTGGAAGGGCAAGCGCCCAGGAAAACAGGTCAACTCCATTTTTCATGGGGCAAAGCGGTTGGCAGCCAGGGGCTGAATCGTAGGAGCAAGTCACAGTGAGGGGTAAGCCAGCTGAACGGGCTTTCTCTGGTTGCGGCTTACTACAAAACCCAGCAGCCAGACAGGTGAGTGGGGCTGAACACAGGGATCGCAACAATGTCCCACCGGCTGCCGATCTGTTTCCGGGGCACAATTCAACGGTCTGGTTCTAACGTATAAAGCCCTAAAAGGTTTGGGTCCAAGCAATCTCTAGGGTTGTGTCTCCCTTGATGAGCCTGCTTGAGTGTGAAAATCATCAGGAGAGGTCTTCCTCTCGGTCCCATCATCCTCACAGATGCATTTGGTGGGGACGCAAGTGAGGGTCTTCCCGGTGGCTGATCCTTTTTGTCTGTAAATAACAGAGTTTGTTGTAACTTTTCCATTCCAGATACCTGTAGACTGGAGGGACAGACTCTTGAAAAAGCGATGCACCATGAAACAAGCAAGGCGGATCCGACGAGATGCTCAGAGTTCGTTGAGTCCTCAACCTGTCAGGAGCGACCCACGGACAATCATCGTTATTATATTTTGGAGTTTCTCCCCTGGACCTCATGATGGATAGAGGATACATTTGAGTTGTGAGATGTATCATTGTGACATTGACTTGTTCTTCTGCTAGACTTATATAGGCAAAACTGGTTATATTGATTTAGGAACATATCATTATAAATTGTATTATATATTCATATAGAGTGTTTAACTTGTTCTACAGAGAACAGCAAGACAGGAACCCTGACTCTCCCGCCCTTCATTTAACTTTACAGTCCACTCATCGCATCCTACTCTTGCAGTTTCGGGCCACAAATTATTCCAAAGCAGGCAGAACCAGACTTGAGCAGTCATCAACATCTTCTCACCTGTACCTTAAGAACCGCAGGGTTTTCAGAAAGCAGATAAAAATCAACCCTCTACCAGCCCTCCCTCCCTCCCTATACCTGGTAAAAACTGAAGCAGCCACATCCTTCCTTTATCAAAGTAAATGATCAAGTTTGGAAATGCAGCGAAGCAAGAGCCCACACTGCAAAACAAGTGAAAAATTGTGTTTTTTTCCTGCAACTTTTGGTGGGGCACCTCTTGAGTCTACAGCTGCAAAAACAAGTGAGGCCAACGTCTTATGATTTCCAGCTTGTTAAGAGCGGCAGGATTAATGACTGCTAGGAACTGGGAAACAGTTTATGAATTCCAGTTCAATGATGGGTAGAAAGCAGTTTGGGATGCAGGTGAAAAACTT